CATAGTATTCCATGGTGTATATGTGCCACATTTTCTTTATCCAGTCTATCACTGATGGGCATTTGGGTTGGTTCCAAGTCTTTGCTATTGTAAACAGTGTTGCAATGAACATGTGTCTTTATAATAGAATGACTTATAATCCTTTGGGTATATACCCAGTAATGGGATTGCTCGGTCAAATGGTATTTCTATTCGTAGATCCTTGAGAATCACCACACTGTCTTCCACAAGTACTTCTTCTAACTCAGTTTTAACTTTTCCAGAAACCAGAATGTTGACTACAATAATTAGGTCTACATATTTCAAATAATCTAACTATGAAAATACCTAGAATTATGTTTAAATTAATATTGTTAAAAGAAAAAAAATTATTTGATTTAATACTATTAATCACACATTTTGAAATAAAAAATCTATACATATTACTCTACTGCAAATGTGAATATTAACAGATACAACTTTATATAAATAATGCTACAACTTCACTCTATATTAACTAAAAGTTTCTTTGCAATAAAGAATTAACATTTCTTGCTAAACATGAAAACAGAAGAATAACACCTGCTACCACAAAAACACACTTAAGCACATAGCCCACAAACACTATAAAACAACCAAGCAATCAAGTTTACAAAACAACGTGATGACAGGATCAAAATCTTACATATCAATACTAATCCAAATGTAAACAGTCTAAACATATCACTTAAAAGGCATAGAGTGGCAAACTGAATAAAAAGACAAGATCCAACTATCTTCTGTCTTCAAGAGAGCCACCTCACATGTAATGACATACACAGGCTCAAAGGAAAGAGATGGAGAAAGATCTACCATGCAAACAAACCAACAAAAAAGCAGAAATTGCCATTCTCATGCCAGAACAAAGAAACAGAATTTAACCAAAAACTATTAAGAAAGACAAAGAAGGGCATTTCATAATGATAAAAGGTTCAATTCAACAAAAAGACTTCACTAACCTAAATATATACATACCTAATGTTGGAGTTCCCAGATTCATAAACCTTCTTTATCTATGAAAAGATTCAGACAGCCACACCATAATAATGAGAGACTTCAACCCCCCACTGACAGTGTTGGAGATCATTGAGGCAGAAAATCAACAAAGAAATTCTGGGCTTATACTTGACATTTGATCATTTAGACTTAATAGACAGCTGTAGAATATTCCATCCCAAAACCACATAATATTCATGTTTGTCATCTGCACATAAGGAACATATTATAAGATTGACCATATCCTCAGGCATATGGTCAATTTGGGATGCAGCTAAAGCAGTAAGAGGAAAGTTTATAGTGCTTTCAAACTTCATCAAGAAATTCAAACGATCTTGGGCCAGGTGCAGTGGCTCACATTTTTAATCTCAGTGCTTTGGGAGGCTAAGGAGGGCAGATTGCTTGAGCACAGAAATTTGAGACCAGCCTGAACAACATGGTGAAACCCTGTCTCTACAAAAAAATAAAAATACAGAAGAATTAGCACATGCCTGTAGTCCCAGATACTTGGGAAGCTAAGGCAGGAGAATCAATTGAGCATGGAAGGCAGAGGTTGCAGTTCACCAAGATCACACCACTGCACGCAAGTCTGGGCAATGGGAGTGAAACCCTGTCTCCAAAAAAGAAAAAAACAGTAAAACAGTTTTTTGAAAGATCTTTTTTGAAAAAACAGTTAATTTGAAAGATCTCAAATTAACAATCTAACTTTATTTAGAAGAACGAGAATAAGAAAGAACAAACCAAACCCAAAGCTAGCAGAAGAAAATAAATAACTAAAATCAGGAATAACTTAATGAAATTGAGAAACAAAAATCCATACAAAAGATCAATGAAACTGTTAGTTTTGCTAAAGAACAAATAAGATCGATAGCTAGCTAGATTAAGAAAGAAAAAGAGAAGATCCGAATAAGTACAATCAGAAATGACAAAGATGACATTACAACATTCTATAAGAATACAAAAGACCTTCAGAGACATTCCGAGCACCTCTTTACATACAAATTAGAAAATCTAAGGGAAATTAATAAATTTCTAGAAATACACAACCTCCCAAGATTGAACCAGGAAGAAAGTAAAAACCTGAACAGACCAACAAGTACTGAAATTGAATCAGCAATTTTAAAAACCTACCAATCAAAATATAAAGCACAAGACCAGATGAATTCACAGCTGAATTCTACCAGCTATACAAAGAAAGTCTGGTACCAATCCTACTGAAACTATTCCCAAAAATCAAGGATGAGCAGCTCCCCACTAACTCATTCTACAAAACTAGCATCAGCCTGTATACCAAAATCTGGTGGAGACACAAAGGAAAAAGAAAATTTCAGGCCAATATCCCCAAAGAATATAAATCCAAGAATCCTCAAAAAAATACTAGCAAATCCAATTCAGCGGCACATCAAAAAGTGAATAAACCATGATCGAGTAAGCATTATTCCTGGAATGCAACACTGGTTCGACATATGCAAATCAATAAATGTGGTTCCACACATAAGCAGAATTAAAGGCAAAACCATAGGATCATCTCAAGAGACACCAAAAGAGTTTTCAATAAAATCAAAAATCCTTTCATGATAGAAAACCTCAACAGAGAAGGCACTGAAGGAACATACCTCAAAATAATAACAGCCATCTGTGACAAACCCATAGCCAACATCATACTGAACAGGCAAAAATTAGAAGCATTCCCCATGAGAACTGCAACAAAACAAGGATGCCCACTTTCACCACTCCTCATCAACATATTGCTGGAAGTCTCAGCCAGAGGAATCAGGAAAAAGAAAGAAAAGGTATCCAGATAGGAAAAGAAGGAGTCAAACTATCTCTCTTCACTAGTGATTCTACACTTAGGAAACCCTAAACATTCCACCAAAAGGCTCTTGGAACCGACAAACAACTTCAGTAAAATTTCAGAATACAAAATCAATGTACAAAAATCAGTATTTCTATATACCAATAATGTTCAAGCTAAGAGTCAAATCGAGAGCATAATCCCATTTACAATATCCACCAAAAAAATAAAATACCTACGATTACAACTAACTAAGGAGGTGAAAGATCTCTATAAAGAGAACTACAAAACACTGCAAAAGAAATCCAGAGATGACACAAATAAATGGAAAAACACTCCATGCTCATGGACTAGGAGAACCAATAGCATTAAAACGGCCATACTGCCTAAAGTAATTTACAGATTCAGTGCTATTCCTTCCTAACTACCAATACAATTTTTCACAGAATTAGAAAAAAAAACTATTCTAAAATTCACATCGATCCAAAAAAAGCCTAAATAGGCAAAGAATTCTTATGCAAAAAGAACAAAGCTGGAGGCATCACACTACTTGACTTAAAACTATAAGCCTACTGTGATCAAAACAGGATTACACTAATACAAAAAACAGACACATAGACCAATGGAATGGAACTGAGAACCCAGAAATAGAGCCACACACCGACAACCATCTGATTGTCAACAGAGTTGACAAAAATAAACAATGGATAAAGGACTTTCTATTCAATTAATAATGGTGGGATAACTGCCTAGCCATATGCAGAAGAATGAAACTGGACCCCTGCATTTCACCATCTATAAAAATTAACTCAAGATGGATTATTAAAGACTTAAATGTAGGACCTCAAACTATAAAATTTCTAGAAGAAAACCTAGGAAATACCCTTCTCAACATTGGTCTTGGCAAAGAATTTTTAGCTAAGTCCCCACAAGCAATTGTAACAAAAAAAAATTGACAAGTGAGACCTAAATAAACTAAAGAGCTGATGCACATCAAAAGATGTCCATGATCATAGAATGTTTTTCCATTTATTTGTGTCATCTCTGATTTCTTTTGCAGTGTTTCATAGTTCTCTTTGTAGAAATCTTTCACCTCCTTAGTTAGATGTAATCCTAAGTATTTTATTTATTTCTTTATTTTGGTGGCTATTGTAATGGTGGCTACTAGTGATGCGCAGCATCACTAATCATCAGAGAAATACAAATCAAAATTACAGTGAGTTATCATCTCACACCAGTCATAACGGCCAGTATTAAAAGTCAAAAAATAGCAGATCCTGATCAGGCTGTGGAGAAAAGAAGATCCTTATACACTGTTGACGGGAATGTAAATCAGTTCAGCCAGCTTGCAGATTTCTCAGAGGACTTAAAACAGAGCTATCATTTGACCCAGCATTCACATTAATGGGTACATACCCAAAGGAAATAAACTGTTCGACTACAAAGACACCTGCACTGGTATGTTCATCATAGCACCATTCACAATAGGAAAAATGTGGAGTCAACATAAGGGCCCATCCATGGTGCACTGGATAAAGAAAATGTTGTACAAATACACCATGGAAAACTACACAGCCATGAAAAAAATGAAATATATATATATATACATATATATATATATATATATATATATATATATATATACACACACACATACACACACACACATTTGCAGTAACACGGATGCAGCTGGAGGTCATTATCCTAAGCAAATTAATACAAGAACAGAAAACCAAACACCACATGTTCTCACTTACAAGTTGAAGCTAAACATTGTGTATACATGGACCCAAAGATGGGAACAACAGACATGGGGACTACCAGAGAGGGGAGGGGCTGAAACGCTGACTAGTGGGTACTATGCTCACTACCTGAGTGACAGAATCATTCATACCCCAAACATCAGCATCACTCAATATGCCTGCGTAAAGAAACCTGTACATGTACCTCTGAATCTAAAATAAAAGTTGAAAGTATAAAAAATAAATAAATTACATTAAAGCAAAGGTAGATCTTGAGGAAAGAATAACAATATTCCTCATCAAGCCTGGCCAAGAGAAGGGACTCTGTTTTGGTCTAGTTTAAATTTACCTCTTTCCAAAATCTTATATTTGAACTTCTAATACTTTTAGCATGTTAATCTGAGACTCTATAACACAGTACAACTTTTTGTATGATAGTCATGCTTCAGCAAAGTGATTATAATTAAATAAATACACACTTTTTTTATTCGAGAGGGCAAAGGTACAAGGTTTCTTTAAACGACCAAATCTTTAATAACTGCTTTCGGTGGAAGATGACTTTCTCCAATATGTTTTGTATTAAGGGTCATTCCTTTCTTCAAGCTTGGCTCTCAACTCTTTGTGTCTTTTTGCCATTGTAAGTATCATTCTGAACCTCTGTTCTCCATTTTGATGTGGAGTCAAGAACTCCTATGGTAAGAAAAGACACATTCCTATTTGTGTTTAAACAGGAAACATCTAACTAACCCCAATGGACACAAAACAGACTGCCATGTCACTACCTATGAAACATATTCAAATATCTTTATTTGCTAAAATATCTCGGAGCTGTTAATGTTAAATAATTTAATACCACAAAGCATATGGGCTGCATACATACAGAGCTGCAGCCCATAAATATTATTTCATATTTACAGAAATAAATATTATTTCCCATTTTCTCACTGTGGCGTCTTCATTCGATGGCTGCCACAACCCTGGGAAGCAGGTTAGAAAGACATAGAGTTAGTCTCATCTTACAACTGAGGAAACTTGGAGTCTTCAATCTGTAAGTCATGGCAAATTCATAGTCCTTAAAGTTAGACAGATGTAAGTTCTCATTGCAGGGCACTCCCTTGATGTAGTTCTAAATCTCTAGTCACCTTGGCCGCCTCCAACCTCATAGACCTATTGTGGGGTTTAAATTAGGTAATGCATGTAAAGCACTGGTATAATTCTTTCATTTTACTGCTGTTCGTTCAATAAACAGCATTTTTCTCCCTTTTTCCTCCCTCAAAAAGCTGGATATAACCATCTGGCCAATAAATGCCAGAGTTCATAAGAACACCCAAGTTTTCTGACTCCTAACCAAGTAGAAAACATGTCAACTCAGAGGCTAAATTTCCTTTTACATTTATAATGTATGGCTTGCCCATACCATGTGAAAATTTTCCCAGCAGAGAGATAGAGGGACCCAGGTTTTTGTGCAGCCTGACACAATTTAGAAGCTCCCTCTTTATGGAAAGAATACAAAACTGAGGACATAGGATCAGGTATAAAAGCATATTTACTTAGAATGAGAGAAGAAATCACAACAAACTATAAATTTTAAAGAGCTGACTAAAACCTACAACATTATTAAAATCCAGAAAACTAATGTAATGAATAACCTTTTACTACTAGACATACCTCTATAATAATTTTTTCTACATTTTTGGCTGCATACTTCATATAACAATTTTGAAACATTTTTCAGATATGGAGATTATTATAATAATTCAGTCATTCATCTACAATAGTTGATTGTTTAACTGTATTTAAGATAATAGTACCTGCTGTTTGGTCTGGAACTGCCAAACTGCATTAAGTTAAGACATGTCAGATACTCTAAGGTGCCATCTGATGCATTAGAATGTATAAAATAAGGAGCTCACTAGTTTGTCATATTGCTGTGGATTTGTCTCCTATAAATACCAGAATTCTGATAAGTTCTATTTCATGTTACAACCATCAAAAAAAAAAAAAAGATGGGTTGTTACTAATTGGAGATAAGTTGGGCTTTGATTAGTCACAATACACACAGGATTCTCCACTTACAATTTTACATGTCTGACAACTGGGAGAATTTTTGATAGAGTAGTTTCTAGCTCCACACATGTGAAGCTTTGTTTCACCTTCACTTCTCTTATCAACATAGTTCAGGAGGGAGGTTTATATCATGATACTGCACCCTTAGGTCATGGTGGTGAATGAGTCACATAGTGAGGACAAAGTGCGTTTTCCTGTGAGCTGCATGTATACTGGGATATCTAGCAATAAGTTAGGTATACTCTGAAGTGATTGCAAACCACAGAAATTATCTCGTAAATCTTTTTAGCCAGATCCAACAAATGCATGCAATGCCTCTAATACCACACATCATGACAGAAAGAGAAGTATGTCCCAGGAAATTTTAGAATGGAAAGAGTAGTCCTAACTAATTGCTGTTAAAATCCATTTTTGATTTGCTGGTTTAATATTACAAAACCTGTGACCATTAGAAGTCATTGTTAGGGCACCTCCTTCCAGGGCCTTAGATGGGATGAGTGCAAGTGAGTGGCCCTGAAGCCTCCCTCAGCTTCATCACCTTCACAGAAAACTCACCTCAGGGAGAGACCCAACCCAAAGCAATGTCAGGGAGCCAATTTAATCAGATGCTTCAGTTTTTACTTATAAGGGAGAAGTATGTTTTGGAACTCTCAAGCAATTTAAAAGGATTAGATAGCTTCTTACAAGGACTACGGTCACATTCACCCCACTTTTAATTGACTCTCTTCTTTGATCAGTTTTGTCGCTTTGAAAAACTTGAGGAGTTTCTAGGCAAGGAAGAGCAAAGGATTTACAGAAAGAAAGAAAAAATGTCTACTAATTGGTTCTTCATTCCACGACATTTTGACACTGGAGCATATTTTTATCATTTGAGCTATAACCCCAACTTTGCCCCATGTTGTATTACCATTGCAGATTCACTTTGGCACTGAAGACACGAAGCCAAAATTTAGCTTCTGGGGCCACTAGCCACAGGTTGCAACTATTCTGACTTGTTTTCATTCCACTGTGTATCTTTCAGCAGTCACTGAGCTAATTCAATTTTCAGGGCCATTAATCTGGAACTTCAAATCAAAGAAGAGACCCTGCATCTCCCTGATGGGTTTGCAGAGCAGCAGCAACTGCAGCAGCCCCATCTTAAAACTTCTTTTGCTTCCTCCAGATCAAGCATGTTCAGCATACCATTTCCCAGGGCCCCTGACCTACATACAGACAGCTCCTTAAATGCGGAGGGAAGGGAAGAGAAAGGCAGAAAGGGATGATAATACTTGCCATTTCCTCATTGTTTGCAACTGATACTAACAAGACCTAGCCTTCCAGCACTGCAAGCCAGACAGTGCTTATTTTTGAAATCCCCACGCCTCCCACTCTGAGTCTAACTTTGGTTTGAGCTCTCAGTTTCCATTAGCGTTCTCTTTCCTTAGGGTCCTTTTCCCCTCCAGTAATCTGTTTTTTCAGAAAGATACCTGATTTAAAAGAAAAAAAATGCCCACATGCAGATATACCAGGTGCAAATGAATACAGTTTAATGTTCCACTCACACAGTGTTTGTCAAAACCACCTACACATCAAAATCTCTCAGGGAGTTTTTTAAAAAATACCAATACCTGGGCTTCTATCCAGGTTAATAAAAATGGACACTGGGGGTAGAGACCAAGTGTGGGGATTTTCTAACAGGTCCCTAGGTGATTCTCTTTTGTTATTTTATTTTTATTGGGGAAAAGCAAGCATAAGGAAAATATGGAACTGCCATTTGTAGAATTCCAGGCAACAGAAAGCAAGGGAGGTATTTCAGGGACCAGATGGAAGAGGGTTTTCCCAGCAACCTTAAAATCCCTTAAGTAGTCAATTTACTTCTTCCATTCGTAGTTAGAGCCTGCTCTGAAAACACTTCATGCATATCAACAAATTTGAATTAAGCTGACTGAAGTGTCAGTATAACAATTCAGACCCACGAAATCTGTTAAAATAACTTTCATATTTCAAATATGGGCTTCATCAACTGAATTTGTGCATGTCACACATAGTGACAGCAGATGTCATTAGAGGACAGAAATTTTCTTTATCTGTCAATGTTGTTTATTAACAAGCAATAGGTGAGCAGCTATTGTAGATAAAATGTACTGGTAACATGGTAGGGATCAAGAAATAATTACAGAAATAATCCTTCCTTAACTATAAAATCCTATGATTTTGTGGTACATCTCTTCTCTAAATGGTGAACACTTTAGAGAGACCTCTTATGAGATGGGCTTCCATAAGCATCAAAGACAAATTATTCCCCTCTAAGTGTTCCCTTTCTGATTGCCTAAAATTTATATTTCTTCTATACAAGTCAATGTAAGTTTCATGGACTTAAGTTGGAAAAGGTGGCACATTACACTGCAGCAGTTACTGACCTTTTAGCCAATATTGATCACCAGATCACATAGAACAAATCCACAAGGCTTAGGACCTTGAACAGGGAAGTTCCGTAGGGAAAGAAGAGACCAGGACATCCAAGCCTTGATGAGACAATGAGAGCTGCAGACCAGGAAATAACACAGGCTCCCAATAGAGAAAAGAAGAGCTGCAAAAGAATGGTCACAGAGAAGACAGGAGGTGGAGGGCAAAAGAAATGAACATCACAGTCTCTGCCTACTTCTCAGTGTTGCCATAGAGAAGTCTAACCCCTGTGGATTCTAGATAATTCGTTACTGGTTTGGACCCTTTGGCTTTATGGCCATCACTATGTTGACTGTTCTCCATCAGTGTTCATCTGCCTCCTTGCAACCTGGCTCCCAGCTTCTGTACCCACTGTTGCCTGCTCCTGGTTTCTGCCTAATCCCACCTTCCTCCAGCTTCCCACACCACTACCTGATCCTAGATGGTGGGTAGGATGTTGCTTTTTTAAAAGAAAGTTTAAAAGCAAACTATGGGTCATTGTGAACCAGAAAGGTATGTGGAGATAATAGTATTACTAAGAATTGCATGTTTACTAATGAATAGGCAATGTATAAAACTTTGCTGCATTATGCTGCAATGTCAGCAGTGAGCACCAAGTGTTCTCACTCTGTCGCCCAGGCTGAAGTGCAGTGGTGTAATCTCAGCTCACTGCAACCTCCGCCTCCCAGGTTCAAGTGATTCTCCTCCTTCAGTCTCCCAAGTAGCTGTGACTACAGGCACATGTCACCATGCCTGGCTATTTTTATTTTTATTTTTATTTTGTATTTTTAGTAGAGAAGGGGTTTCACCATTTTAGTCAGGATGGCCTTAATCTCCTGACCTTGTGATCCACCATCTTTGGCCTCCCAAAGTGCTGGGATTACAGGTATGAGCTACCACACCTGGCCAAGTGTTCCCATTTTCAAGTACATATTCCTATATTCTTCCCTTTTATCCTTCCCTTCAATGGGATATTCTTGAACTCTTCTCTGTCTACAAAGAGAGTATTTAAAGCACTTGTGAAAAACACATGTAACCCCCAGTCTAGATGGAAAAGATCTGGGTGGGAGCTTCTTACTGCTTAGTGGCTGAGGCATGAGTCCAGAAGAATGCTATTCTATTTTTATGTAGAAGCACTGAGGCTTATGTAATCTGAAAAAGTATGGGACACACATATATAAGGTATTTTTATGATGTTG